ACAGATTTTAAAATGTTGATATTAATAAAGTGGTTAGAAACTCCAAAACCAAATCAAGGAACTATTCCTAAGAGAATCAGGCTTACGATGGAGGTGACATTTAAAATAGATCCTATTTAAAAGACATCACGGGCCTGTTGGGGAAATTTCTGTTTTGCAAGAACATCAAGTCATCTTCTGGATGGATAATTAGTAAAATTATGACACCAGTGTGGACACTGTATAGACAGAAGAATTATTCTAATCTCCAATGACCCATTCTTACCAAGATCTCTGGCAGCACTTATTAATGTTGACTGCATCTTCTTTTCCAAGTCATTCATTATTTCTCTTAATTCACTCAGATTAGGATCAAATGAAGGTTTAACAAGGAATTCATGGTTTTCTACCTATAATCAGAATAAAGAGTAGCTAAATTGTATAAATGATATATAAAAATGTAAATCATAAAACAAATATTTTCTTCTAACTTATTTTAGTATCACTAATGTTTTAAGTTAAATGATTTGCTATCAGTAAGTTACTCAGTCACAACTATTAAGTTTCTATTTATTAATAAGAGATATACAGTTCTGTTAGGAGCTGAGAGCTCCAGATGTAAAAATTATAAAACAAAGTATTCATATGTAACAGATACAGGGCCAATGATGCATATGGCCGTAATAGTATTCTAGATTTTTATATTTTTTCCTAAACAATATTTGAAACATTTTCCCTAAACATCTCTGAGGAAGCTTCAATGTTCAAAACCTATATTAGGGTGTGCCTGTGGCTCAAAGGAGTAGGGCAGGTTCAAATCTGGCCCCAGTCAAAAACAGCAAAACAAACGAAAACTATAGAATTTTATTTCTTTAAACTGAAACTTCATCAAAACCTCACAACTTTTTTTTTGAGACAGAGTCTCACTTTGTCACCCTTGGCGTCATAGCTCACAGCTACCTCAAGTCCTGGGCTTAAGTGATTCTCTTGTCTCAGCCTCCCAAGTAGCTGGGATTACAGACACCTGCCATAACACCCAGCTATTTTTAGAGAAGGGGTCTCACTCTGGCTCAAGTTGGTCTCAAACCTATGAGCTCAGACAATCCACCTGCCTCAGCCTCCCAAGTGCTGGGATTACAAGTGTGAGCCACTGCACCGAGCTAAAATCTTACAACTTTAATTACATACTTTTTCCATACCCTGTTTCAGTAAAGTCTTACCAGTAATAAACAGCAAGAAACTATAATGAAAAACACATCTCACTGGGCGGCACGTGTGGCTCAGTGGGTAGGGCACCAGCCCCATATACCAAGGGTGGAGGGTTCCAGCCAAACTGCAGCAAAAAATAGCTGGGCATTGTGGTGGGCACCTGTAGTCCCAGCTACTCAGGAGGCTGAGGCAAGAGAATTGCCTAAGCCCAAGAGCTGGAG